AACAAAAAATATAAATATAACAAACTAAGTTCAACATAATGTAATGAATTTAATATAAAATGAATGAAATATCTTCTCAATCGTTCTCCACAATCGCAATTTACAAATATCTATAATGAGAAAAAAATTAATACCATTAGTACGAATTTACATTAATACTTTTAAACAAATGACAAATAATACTTACCCAATGAGCGTATTGAATTCCCAGCAGAGGCAGCAGCACAGACAGAGGAAAAATCAAAATGGCAGAAAATTTTAGCAATCTACCTCTGCAATGGCAGATTGCAGAAATGTAGACGACGGATTTTGCACGACGAACCATTGCAGAAATGTAGACGAAGGATTTTGCGCGACGAAAGAACATTTTCATCGCGCAAGCACTTGTCAACATCGGGCTTTTGCGCGACGGAATTTCATTGTCGTCGTGCAAAACTTCATCGCGCAAACTCATAACGTCGCGCATGCGCAACTTTCCGTCGCACAAGAAAGTGCCGACATCAAACCTTGCGTGACGAATCATACTTCCGTCACGCAAGTATTTGGAGCCATTTTCTGTCCATCTTTGCGCGACGAAATTTGAAACCGTCGCGCAAAGATATCTTCAGTGACGATCATCATCGTCACGCAAATATTTGACGCCAAAAAAATACACCCGGTTTTTTCTTCCCTACTTTGCGCAACGAATCATTTATTTGGTCGTGCGAAGTATCTTAGCGCGACCAACTCTATCATCACGCAAATTTTGGCGCCCAAAAAAAACCCCCGCGTTTTTCTTCCTCACTTTGCGCGACGACTCATTTTTTTGTCGCGCTAAGGGTCTTTGCACGACTAAAATTTTCGTCAGGCAAGTTTTCATCTTTTTGCACGACGAATAATTTTTTTCGTCACTGTAGTGTCTTGGCAGAGTCTAGCCAAGTCAAGGACAAGATGCAACAAGCCAAACTGCCGCACAAAATCTAAATATGCTTCTATGGCGACTAAACCTTGATGATACTGTCCAGACTCCAGATATGTCTTTAAAGGTAGTGTATTTGTCTTCGTCAAATTCAAGAGCGGCACAAATCTTTTCCACCAAAGACTTATTAGCAATTTGAACATCCCCCACTTTCAATACAGCCTGGCTAGTTGTGGGCAATGTTTTCAAAGGCGAGGCGTATAGGCGAGGCGTTTTTAGTAGCGCTATGCGAGGCGTAAGCCTTTTGAACATTAAGTTATTTTAATAAGAAAAATTTATGAATAATACAATATGATTAAATTGTACAACTAATTCTTATTCAACTATAACAATCTTTTAAATATAACTAGTATATTTAAAACATATTGAAAAAAAATTATACGAAACTTCAAATTATAGTTTATTACAATCAAATTATACAAGTATGATACATGTACGTAAAAAAAAAAACAAAAAACAAAAAAAAGAAGACTTACTTGCAGTCGAAAGATGAAGAGAATTCTTGAAATTGATGGAGTTATCTGGTAATGGTAGAAATTAGGGTTGTACACGTACTATACAATATATATATATAGTCCATGTGTTAATATATTAATTTAGAGAAAAAAAAAAAAAAGTTAAGTACAAAGCTACAGCCGGTTGGAGTTAGGAAAGAAAAAGAAAGATATTAAAGATATTAATTCTTGCCTATTACAATTAAGGTAAGGAAAACAAAAAACTGAAACTTGCAGTTTTTTTTTTTAAAACACACTCCAAGTGAAATGACGTTGTTTCACTATAAGATTGTTTTTAAAACTCTGCAACCAAAACGACGTCGTTTTGTTACAAACCTTAAAAAAAAAAATCGATTCGTCTTCCTCGCGAGTTCATCTTCCTCAAAGAAAATTTGCAGACTTTCAATTTCTTCCGTTTCAGAAGATTCCATATCTGCAACGCCTCCTCACGCCTCGCTCCGCCTGGACACGCCTTGCAATGCCTCCTCACGCCTTCCCGGTGCTAAACGTGCAGATAGCGAAACAGCCGGACGCCTCGGGCGTTTTCCTCCCGCCTCGCGCCGACGCGCGCGAAGGCATGCCTTTAAAAACACTGGTTGTGGGCAACTTATGCACTTGTGCTGCAGAAACTGGAGGAAAATCTGAAACCGAAGGTTGAACAGATCCACTTTCAACCAAATTAGGAGCTGATGTAGAGTGGCTGATCCTACCAGACTTGGTTTTGCTTGAATCCCTCAAAGAACCAGTTGTCTGTCTCGTCTCAACTTGAGCGTGAGCAGAACTTGCATAACTAGATGGTCTGGGTCCATTGTTTTGACCAGAACCGTGCAAAACTGTTGTCTGTCTAGTCTTGACTTGAGCTTGAGCAGAACTTGCATTACCAGATGGTCTGGGTCCATTGTTCTGACCAGAACCGAGCAAAACTGTTATTTGTCTAGTCTCGACTTGAGTCTGAGAGGAACTTGCATAACTAGGTGGTCTGGGCCCATTGTTCTGACCAGAACCACGAGATATTATAGGTGAAACATTTGTTGCAGGCCAAGCCTGAGCTGAACTAGTAGGTTGTACTACAGGCCCACGCCTTGCTGCTGGCCAAGCCTCACCGGAACTATTAACAGCCGCCTTGCGGTTGCTCCACGGTGTTATTAGGCAAACCATCCGAGTCAGATCTGGGGTTTGATTGACTGCTGCTAGGTTGCACTGAGAGGGGAGGAAAGGAAGATTCCTCCAAAGGTGCATTACTAGAACTATGCCCCAAGGCTTGACGATACCTTGAAGATGTTTCGATATCCCTTGTTCTTAATGATTCAAAAGGGTCAATGATTGGATCAATATCGCTTATATCTCCAAGATGTGGAGCAACTTGCCCACTGGAGGATGAAGGATCATTCAATGTATTTTCAGCATGAGCTGCCTCCAAACTTGCTTGAATAGCCATAGAAAGTTGGTTTTCAGAAGAATCACGACGAAAAGTCCGACCTCTTCCACCTCTTCCACGTCGATGATCTTGCTCACTTGTTCGTTGATACCGGAAGCTGGTTGGTATCTGTTACAAAACAAAAATAATTATTATATGAGATAAAAGAAAATTCACAAAACAAAACAATTATATAAATAAAAAAGATGCGAGAAGTACTCAGCCTAGCTGTAAAATGGAAAATGCAAGACAAGAATAAAAAAAAAGAATATTTACCTGCAAAGCAGCATTACGCTTAGAACGAGACAAACGTCCATGTTCAATCGTATTATGCCTCTGAAAAATAAAAAATAAAGCAAAGTCAAAATAATTAAATGCTACAAGATGCAGGAACACAGAAAATATCTCACGTTCTAAAAATTCACCTTCATTTCTGCCTCAGATTGAAAGACAACAAACTTTTTGGCGAGGCAGGATTCATCTTCACATAGGAAATGACCATGGCGGAAGTGCATCTATGACATGAACAAAAAAATTCAGAACTCATACAAGGCACCACAAACAAAATAAATAATAAATAAATAACAAAATCACCAATAACTTGCCTCCTGGTCATCGTAATTCTTATAATATTCGTACTGTCCAGGATGCTGCCTGCGTTGATCAGCATAGGATCTCATATGAGCTTAAACTTATTCTATATTGAGCATCTCCACCCACAAGGGCTAAGTCTAGGGTAAGGGCAAGCAAGGGCTGCCACTATTCACGTGAATGGTGTCAGCCTTTGCATTTGTGGTTCCACCCATGAAGGCAAAGTCTAAGGCAATTACTATTCATTGTACTTTATTTCCTATTTTTTTATACTTTAAACCATTAATTTTGATAATCTTTTGTAATTAAATTTTCAAATAAGATTTTCACCCTCTAAAATTGTGCCACGTATCCCATGTCAGATACGATTTTCAGATATTTAAAAAAAAATTATAATCTCAAATTTCAAATAAAATTTTCACCCTTTAAAATTGTGCCACGTGTCCAATGTCAGATAAGATTTTCAAATATTTTTAAAAAATTATAATCTCATATTTCAGATAAGATTTTCACCCTCTAAAATTGTGCCACGTGTCCCATGTCAGATAAGATTTTCAGATATTTTAAAAAAATTATAATCTCAGATTTTAGATAAGATTTTCATCCTCTAAAATTGTGCCACGTGGAGAGTAAAAAATATTGGATGGAGAAGAAATTATATGAAGATTTAGTGTGGAAAGTAAATAAAATGGTTAGGTATTTATAGAGAAAAAATACAGAATTTTTGGGTTTTTTTAAAAAAAAAAATTCAGAATTTTTTCGAACCGTCGGATTTCTGGAAAAAAGCCATCCGAGAGTCCCTGTCGCACCACGTGGCAAACGCCCGTTGGAGGCTGTCAGGTGGTGACGTCAGCGCACGGAAGTCAAATTTTTTTACCGTTGGCGCGTGTACAACGGTAACAAAAAATTGAGATACCGTGC